AATTTAATTTAATTTGTTTTTGTTAACGCCGTCCTGTAACAGCTGACCGGTGAGAACTGGCGAATAGTACTAAATGGGACACTATATAAGTATGAGGGTTATAATGATCGCGACGATTAACGTTCTTACGGTTTCGAATTGCTATCCGGCGTGATGGAAATCAATTAAAATTCCAGACCGACTTTAAGCATCGGAGAAAGGCAGAATTAAGTGTTACTCGTCAGATTTCTACGATATTACCGAAGAAAATAATTTAATAGAACTGCCTCCGCGCTGAAATCGACTTCCATTTAGTTCCCGCTTTCCAGAACGGATCTATGAGAAGTACAATAATTACGCGTATGATACAACTCCGCGGGGAGTATTAAAACGTCGAACATAATAGAAACGGATGAATGCTGGAGAAAATATGAAGAAACCTTGTTGGCTATTACTTAGTCGATAACAGAAGAACGTCGGACTCGAGGTAAGGGGATATTTCTTGCGCTGTTTATTTGTGAATATGTCTTAGTCAAACTATTCAACTATCATTCAACACATTCATTTCACCTGTTTAACAATTAATAAACAAACTAACTTTCCCAATTGTTGTTCATTATTCTCATCAACCCAGTAACTCAGATTCCCAGAAGTAACTCAATTATTTACGACAAAATTCTATCTAAAAATAATCCTTTTTAATCCCTACCTTTAATCCCCATTTTTCCTAATTTTCACCCTGCAAATACAACAATTATCTATGGACAAAAATGGATCATCATCTTACCTTAAGTGTACAATTGTTGTTGTGATTGACTGGTGGATAAGCAGGATGGCCGGGTAAGTGTGGATGCGGGTGTCCTGGGTGATGCGGATGATCGGTCATCATTCCAGCACCACCATGATGGTGCCCGTTGCTGCCCATCCCTTGACCGGGTTGCATGGAAGCGTACGGGGTTGCCGGGTCGATTCCGGGTCCATGGGGCGGCGAGTGGGGGCTAGGCAGGTCGGGGGTGGTAGTAGTGCCGCCGCCACCGCCACCGCCGCCACCGCTGCCGGTACTGTAGCCGTGATGGGGCCCGGAATGATGGGGACTGCTCGAGAGCGAGGGATGATGCGGGTAGGCTGCAGAGTGGCCCGGATGGTGGGGGTTCATACCAGCGGTTAAAGCGCTCGCCAGCTTGACCGATGAGAGGGTGGGCCCGACGAGCCCACCAACAGCTTCCCACGACGAAAAACAAAAGCTTCTAGCCTACCACTGTGGAAGCTTATTGGAGCCCGGCTCTCCTAGAACCGGCTCTCTTCTTCCGGCTCTCTGCTGATATCTGTAACAAGAGAAATTGGCTGGTCAGTGGTGTCGTTCGGCTGTTTGCGGCTCGTTTTCCTGTTAGGCTAACAGGTGTCCATTGAGAGCCACTGGCTTGGAGATATGGAAGCTTATTCGAATGAGAATTTAGTACGGCTCGATGGTTCACTGATTGAGGCAGCGAATTGGTTAACGCGTTCACAGTTGTGATATATATTTGTAAAACTTTGTGTGTTTATAATGTATAAATGTTTGGGAGAAATTCTGAGCTAGAATATTGAATAGAATTTCTTAGGATTTTAGAGTAACATCTTGTGGTTTGTTTAAATATAGTAACACGACGGCTGATAGATTACTATATTTTAGAAATGATGATCACTAGTAAAAATGTTTTCGGATAAGTTCGAACAATAAAGCTAAAGAAAGTTGATAACCTCACGCATAAATGCTCGAAACCACGTTGCGACGAGACAAAGCTAATGGTTATCGGGATTGCTAATTACGGCGAAAGGAGAAACAAAGCCGGGCATCGAAGTAAAGGATCGAGAGATCCGATCGAGACGGTTTAAACAGCCTTCGAAACTTCTTTCATAAGAAAATCTTAAAGACAACGATATTTAGCTCGGGCGTGCAGTTCGGAACTGGCGGTACAGGCGACCGCTGCATTAGATCCCACGATGAAATTGTGCCGGCTGATATTAATTTCTCGGCGGTCGGAGTTCCGGTGCAATTTTATTGGTCCTTAAGACGGGAGCGCAACGATTTCATAATCCCCTACCCGGTCCCGATGAAACAGCGGTACGTGGCAAAACGAACCCCGAAGGCGTTTCGGGTGCCGGGGGTAGGGACCTTTTTACGACGAGGCAATTCG